TATAGAAATTCAAATAAATGATCCTCTTTCGCTCAAGACTTCATAATTCCTTCTCTCCCTCTCCTTTATGATCAACTAATTTACAAATTAAGACAATAAGAAGTTGTATGAACGAAAATGGGATAATCAAGCGGATGAGTGAATGCAAAGGAGGTTTCATGTTGGATTTAAGATTGGGAACGCATCCCTGTTATCGACTGTTTCCATGGTAATAGATGACAATTTCTTTACCCACAGAGACGGCCTCTCGATTAGTTCATGCGCGCCACCGCTATGAAACTCTGATCGAACAGTTCCCATAAGCCTGAGCAATCTCCCCTATTATCTCTGGCTCTGGTTACTAACTAAACTTTTGCAACTGAAAACATTTTATTTGAAAACGATAATTTTTTTTACTTTCCTACAGATTTGAATCTGTTAGGATTGTTTTCATAAAAATTCCTTGGCTTGAATTTTCAAAGTTTTTTTGTTTAAAAGTTTTACTAACAACAGAAAAGAAAATTATGCGGATGATTTTTGTTTTGGGACATTCCAAAAAACTAAGTTTTATAGGATAATCTAAATGTATTGAACATCTATTTTTACAAAAAATTGAGGATTGAATTTCCTTTTCACAATGTTAATTCTGGATCAAGCCAATCGAGGCAAATCCCATAACGCTACTGCCATCTACTGGTCCATCGAAATTCACCGTTGTGTCATCTATCGAGAATCTTGAGAAATAAGGTTTACCATCCCTTCGAGCTGACGACTCATGCTCGTAGTGTGCGTCCACTGAGCCCCCATAAACCCCCGACCCTCGAAATTAATCCCGTTACTACTGTCGATGTACTGTCGACCTTTCTACGTTATTACTGTCGACAGTGATTTTTTTTTTTTTTTTTNTTTTTTTTTTTTTTTTTTTTTTTTTTTTTGTGCTTGCCTCTTCTAGAGTGAGAAGATATAACCACATTGAACAGAAGAAGAAGACTGTCGACAGTGCCAGGACAGCGGGTCAGGAATTTCTGTCGACAGTGGCAAGGCAGAAAACCGGATTTTGGCTCGCTGGGGGAATTATTTTGGATATTTTCTTTGAGAGGACTATGTATTTCAGATAGAACTCAATAATTCGATCCAAAATAATCAATTTTTTGATTATGTTCCCTATACCCTGAAAATTTTTGCAAGAGAAAATCATGGCGAGTACTGACGGGTCAAGACTAATTTTTAGGTTAAGGGCAGATTTCCATTTTCGTTTCAGATCCGCACTGGAAATTTTCTGTTTGTGGTTTTCGAGGTCAAAGGACGGCTGGTACCTATCGATATTTTTCGGAGTTTCCTCATATTCTAGGGGAAAGGGACGAGTTGACGACATTTTCCATTCCCAGATGGAAAATTGCGTTACAATTGTTTATTTAATTCCTTCTTTCTTCTTTAGAAAAAAATCATATTTTAGTTTAATCACTCGATTTTTAAATTATAAGCCTCCTGCGACTGTCCAAATAAGCATAATTTTACGTTTCAGATACTCAATTTTTGATAGAAATAAATAATTTTGCTGTCAACGATTTTTTACCTGGATTCAACGTGCGCTTATGGACCTTAGTCTGCCAAGTATTATTCCTATCAGGCAGAAGTCTTATCTTCGCGTACGGATCAGCACTCCCACTTAATTCCCTGGCCCTCAAATCGTGCGCCTTTTGAGGGGGAAAAACCTTTCAATTTATCCCAGTAGATAATTAAATTTACAGGGTGAAGTAAATAATGAAATCGAGTTATCTCACCTCGAGAAGTTTCACCGTAAGTACCCCATTGATGGAATCGTGAGAGAGACTTAATTGCAACTCACCCGCTGGCTCGTCTATTGATGAAGAGGACGACCAAGGTGATTGCTAAATTTATCAAGAAGATTTTGAAAATGAAAAGAATTTTCGTAGCAAAACGTTCGTGAAAATTCGCATTATTAGGGGAAGATAGCGCTAGAATTTCGAAATGACTGATATCTTCATTCAATGTAAAAAAAAATAGGAAAAAATTAGGTTTTGATTTTTTTATTGATCAGAGAGAGGCTTTAGAGGAATAAAATCTTCAAACGTATCCTCATGGCGTAATTCTCAACCGATGGACTCAATTTTGGTTCACCCATACACAATATGTACACAGATATAACTGAATGAGGTTTTTTGACAGTTAAAATTTTTTTAGTTTTTGGGTTTTTTTTCTCTAAATTGGCTGAGGTAAAAAATTTGAAAGATTAGTAATGTTCACCTACATCATAAGTCATTGAAGTAGGATTCTTTTCAGACTTTGAATCTTTTTGCTTCCGAATAGAAGCATTATATTCGTCAAAAGCGAAAACACGAAAATCACTCCCTCTTGCTTTTTTTGCGCCCCCGGCAAAAGTGACAGTTGATGGACAGTACAATTTTCAATTGAGGAGATTGGTGTAAGTGATTCGTAGTTCATCGTAAAAGTGTGGTCAAAAAATTGTTGAAAATATTCCAAAATTTTTCAAAAATCTTTTTGTATAATCGTCTGGTCGCGCTGTGGCAAAGGATACATTATTTCACAGGCCGCCATTTGCCACGGTAATTAAACATTATTCATATCTCCTCTATTGATCTCATTCCTCAATATTAATTAAAAAACGCTCTATCAAAATGGTCAGAATTTTGTTTCCTCTTTTTAAAATCCAAATTCATAATTTTCGGAGTCTGAGTGACGAGGCATCGAATTGAAATTTTGAAATAAAAATCGAACAAAAAAACTACCTAGATAGCATTCAGCAGATAATGGAGCTGGGCCTTATAATAATAATAATAATAATAATAATAATAATAAATCTTTACTGAAAACAATAATTGTTCTTTCAAAGAACTATAAATTGAATAATTATTGGAAAGAATTTATGCAAAATAAAAACATCAATTTAATTAATTTATTAATAATTTTTACCTTGTGAAAAACGGAGTCACTATCAGTACTATTAAGCCTTGATCCAGACGATGTCCTTGGTTGTGATTTAACAATGACCATTCGCTCATCAGAAGCAACAACTGCACCTCCCGGAAGTGGAGGAGGGAATGGACTCACTGGAGTTTTCGGCTCGTCATCTCCTTCGGATGATAACCGTTGAATAACTGGATTAAATACAACATCAATTCAATTAACTTGAATGAAAAATTAGTGGAGTCTGCATAAATTGATTTAAGGGGGGTCTCACCACTTTTTTCAAGTCCCAGAAATATTTGACGGAAAATTTTGTCAATTGTTTTTTTATACGTTTTTTTAGGTATGAAAAAAGTGGAAGCATGAGTCATCACATTATCTCAATTTTACGACACTATTTGCTTATTTTCTGCTATAAGGAGATGAGCAAATCCAAATCCCATGCGATTAAGTTTGCGGGAGATGATATCGAGTAATTCAAAAAAAAAAGTTCGAAAAAATAAAACAAATTTAGGAGATACGATTTTTTCAATCGATGAATTCAAAAAATGGTCATTTTCAATAGGAAAAACGAAAAAAATGCTTGGAATTTATATATCTTTCAGAAAACAGTCATAATGTGATTGAAAAAGTTTATTTAATTCCATCGAAAGAATGTATCGAGACAGCAGTATCTGAGGCCATTTGTGAGTTCAATGAAAGGATTCTAGAGAGTACAAGGCAATTCCTCGCTGCAATGGGTTTTACGGCGAATCATCTATCGCAGAGGATAGGACGAAGGCGAGTTCGTCGGCGATGTGGACGTTATAAGGCACGCCAAACAGTGAAGTTCAAAGCTGCACGATATAACAAGAAACACAAGAACCCAGAAAGACAGATGGCAACCAAAAAGGATGAAATGACCTATGGAGCGGGGGAATTTTTACTTTTTTGGCCACATTATAACTGTTTTCCAAAATATCAATATATTTCAAGCATTTTTTCGTTTTTTTCTATTGGAACTGGCGATTTTTGTAAATCATCGTTTTCGAAAAATCGTATCTCCTACATTTTTTGATTTTTTCGAACTTTTTTTTTTCAAATACTCGATATGATCTCCCGCAAAATCAATCGCATGGCATTTGGATTTGCTCATCGCCTTATACGAGAAAATGAACAAATAGTGTCGTAAAATTGAGATAATGTGATGACTCATGCTTCCACTTTTTTCATACCTAAAAAAACGTATAAAAAAAATGGACAAAATTTTCCGTCAAATATTTCTGGGACTTGAAAAAAGTGGTGAGACCCCCCCTTATTGAAGAACTGAATTAATGTACTTGTTAACCCCTCACGGACGGGGCCGTTCTGTTACCAAGCGTAGTGTGTGCTCAATACGACTCGAATTCGATCATTTCTAATGAATGGAAAATTATGAAACCGGTATCTAATTGAAGCTACAATATTCTGGTTTCCAATTTTGTTTGCCTGATCAACTGGTTCTCCATAGATTTGGAAATAATCCATTTTGAAAACAAGCGTTCACATTCGCATGGGTCAGTTTATTTTGAGAAAAAAGGGGGAGTTCACCTTCGCGGGAGTTCAGGATGCTCGTGTCATAGGGTGGATCCTTCCGTTGCCACTCGGCGTCATCGCAAATGTTGTCACTCAGTTCCCCTCGTACTGTTGGATTACACGTCAGTGACGCGATATTTCCGAGTTCAATGAAATTTTCACTGGGGGACTTTTCTGCTTCTTTCGCTCGGTCTAATAAATCCTTTTCAAACCTGTCACAAGATCAACAAAAGAAAGATTAATTGACTGTTTTTTTAATTAAAAAATTAGACACCCATATGAGTTAATTAATATTTTGAAAGACATTCTTCAATTTATTTATCTGAAAGAATTCATCAATGGACTTGATCAGGATAGGATTCAATGTCCCTATTATTGCGTTAAAAAATCATCAAATCTGTGATTTCCGTCAATTTTTTGTCTGATTATATTCGTATGTTACCACTCAAAGAATAGTTCATTGAAAAATCATAAAATGATTTAAAAAATGATCACTTTCAAGTTACTGTTAGGTTGAAAACATTTTCAATTTTGTAAAAAAATCTAGATTATGTCTCACCACAAATATGTGTAACTACTTACATGGAAACAATTTTTATAAAATCTGTCATTTCTTTAGAATCAATAAAAAACGTCGGTTTCATTCAAGTCTGATGAATGTTTTATCTGAGAAATGACGCCTTCTACTACATAGTACATCTCCGATGGTAGAATTATTCATTTTCATAAATGAAGAATTAATTTGAACAATCTGTCTGATCCCAGACACCTGTAACTACTGATTTTTCTCGATTTTCGTATTTCAAAGATCTCACCAGTTGAGAGGGCCCTTTCCACTCGAAAAATACGCGAACCTCTTTCGTTTCATACACATCGCGTAGAACAAAACCGCCGATATTGCACCAGTCGCAGCACCGACTGTCCCGAGGACAACAACCGCTCCCGCGCTGTGAGAGTCCATCTCTCTTCCAACCTGAAATAAAAAATCATCAACAATTCCCTCATTCCCCCAACTAACATAATCAACAAAATAATGGATCGTAAATAAATGATGCATAAATAATGATACAAATAAAATGCTTCGATTCAAAAATTCATCAACAAAAAATTTGAATTCATCACTCGACATTGAAAATGCCATTCATGTATTCCTCCCAGACTAATCGTTACTAATCAATAATTATTAATAATTCCACTGACATTTTTTCTTATTTGAAAGAACTCAATTGATATTTAATCGCAACATTATGATTATCGGAAAGTATTCTTACCTCACAAATGGATGATACTCTCGACAATTCGGCATTACATTATCCTTACTTAAGGTGCTGCGCCCCCGGGATGACACAACCTGCTATCACGCAAGCGTAATACTTCTACCTGTGGATGTAATCACTCATACACTCAAACATCTCAAATGGTCTTTAAGGGGTGAGGGTGGGGGCGCGAGAGAGGACCAGTTGATTCCCGCCTGAGGGGATTTTTACAACCAGCAACACCCCACCCACAATATCCTCTGACGCGTGTCCTTGAACTTTCGGAGGAATGACGAGGATATTGCATGCGAATATTTGACTTTTTCTCCGATTGATTGAGGGAATAAAATTTTCGGTTGTTCATTTGGAATGTGGGGATTAATTTTATTTCTCGGGGTTTGTATTTTCATTTTCTAATATTAATTTACAATTTTTTTGTAAATATGGTGGATGTAAATATTCTTGATAAAAAAAATGAATATTTTCGATTCGATAGTGAAATATTCTCTGTTCTTGAATAATAATCCTCCTATCAAGAATATTTTTCCGAAATTCTTGAATTTAGAATAAATCTTTCTAGTTCAAAAGTCAAATCTCTTGATCTAACAATGGATATTCTTGATTTCAGAACGAATATTTCTCGTTCAAGAATAAAATATTTTATATCACCTCTAAAGTAAGTATTCTCATTCAAAGAATAAAACATTTTTTACTTCAGAATGATTATTTCTGCTTAAAGAATATTGTCCTGACTTCCCTGATTTAAGTAAAAAAGATTCTGAATAAAAATTCCTGAACAAAATATCGTATTCCACAAGAGAATATTATTTCTACTCTCTTAATACACATCAAAACCCATCATCACACCCAGAAAAACGGTTTATTTGCATTAAATCAACTTTATTTGAATCAAATAAATCTTCTGTTAGAATCAAATGAACAATTTATTTGATTCAAATACAGTTTTTTTAACATTAAAAATAATTATTTCACTCCATAGTGTGTGAGGATTGAGTACATGAAGTTTCAGCTATTTAAAATTTCACTATCATTCTGTTGTTCAGTGCATTTTTTTTCTCATGACTTCGGGAAGAATAATTATGATTTGTGTGTGAGCGCGTGTGAGTGGACTTTCGCATTTGTTATTCCATTATGCCAGAACGTGTTGTATTGCACACTATGAGTTGGAGAGATGGGGAGGAAACGGGGGAGATGATGAATTTTAAGGGCTTGGGAGGGAGGGAAGGAGGCGACGCAGGAATTTTCTGCTGGTAAACATAATATGACGAGTTCTTCGTCTCCCCTAGGTTTTTCCGTGTCTTAAAAATTGATTCGTAACCATATGTGAAAAAATTTAGTGAATGATATCAAGCCCTTTCTTTAATGAATTGTAATGAAGTTTTTGCAATTGCATAAAAGTTCTTGGAATTCAATTTTTTTGTTGTCTGTATTTTTCTTGTTTGATTACAAAATAAAAAAAAATAGAAAACCAATTTCCAATCAAAGTTTCAAGAAAATAAGTGGTACAGAAAAATAAAAACAAATAAAATTTTTAAGACAGTTCTAGTATTTGAAACAGACATCCAATAAAATTCTCTAGTGAATAGGTCAGGTTTTCTATTGAATGAAATTTTTTCATTCTTTGGATCAACGAATAATTGCACCCACGACAACTTTAATCTCCATAAAAACCTCAGGAATTTCTGTGGAATTCCACTTATCTTCAACAATTAGATCCGATCGATAACCCAGCGGGATCAACCCCTCAAACAAACGAAAGTTTCGTTTTCTACGCTGCCATTGCTCCCCACCAACCGCCTCACTTCGGATATTTATGAGAAATTGCATGTAATAAATCTCAGGATTTTGTAAATTGTTTTAATCGTGGCAGTACGTGATTGAAGGCGCTTTAATGGGACTTAACAGCCATCAGGATGAAATTATAATTAGACTTCAGTGGGTGGACTCTTGCCATATGGCACGGGTTCAGGTGTTTACACTTACTTATAACAATTGTTCATCATAAATAACTATTTATAGTATATTAATTAATTGAGAATCCATCCATTTTCATGTAATTTATTAAACGAAGGGAATCGTTAATCGATTCTGGTTGATTGTTTTTCTTAATTCAGAAGAATTATTTATAATTCTATTTTTCTATTTATGTTTTTACGACTGTGTATGAAAATTCTGTTTATATGACTGATTGGATGAGTTCATTGATTAATAATTAAATTTATCGGATTGTTATCATTTTTCTTTCATTCGAAATCAAATTTCATTTTAGTTTAGTTTCAGCATTTGATGTTGTTAATATTTTTAGAAATAAATGAATAGATGCATAGATATTAATTGATACGTTAATGAAATTGTTATTGATTATGTTTTGATTTGAAAAGATCTTTAATTATTTTTTTCTATCCAAATAATTGATACATTCACCTCTCGATAATTCAATTAATAAAATTGATTTTTCTTCACTAAAAATGTAAATTCATTTTTTTGTCATTTCATTTTATCAATATATTTTATTAACTAGTCAATTTATGAACGAAAGTTTGAATTAGAAAGAGAGTTTTTGATAGGGAGAATGAATATTTTGGGAACAAAAATTGACACAAATGAATAACATGAATAGAAACGATTCGTGCGTATGGAATAGACTTCGATTTTGTTACCTCAACGTATGCGAATAACCCACTGTCCTTCCTCTGTCTGTATTCTCATACTGGAGACGTAGAGTTGCGTAGGAGTTTCATTACATCGAGGGGCAGTGGATGTTTGGGGGTGGACGCACGCGTAGTCACAGCCGGCATTCAGCTTTTCTCCGAAGGATTGTGGGAATTTTTTTCCCTGACATGGCCTTCGGACTTTTTACGTCGTGATAATTCTAAAAGCGATGTGCACTTTTGTTTCTTTAAATAAACGAGTTTTGTGGTGGTTTCCCACCTCAGTTTCACGAGTTTAACAAAACAGATTGCATTCATTATTTGAATGTTTTTTTTATGACAAGATATCAGACGGGAAATTTTTTAAAGGGAGATAAAGTTCTGAGAAAGGTCATTTCATTCATCATAATTTCATTCCCAGTTGAGATAATTACGTATGATTTAAGTAGCTATACTAATCCAGAGTACGCACCTGTGAGTAAGGGTGGGTTTTCACTCGTAGCGGATAGTTATTGTGTATTATACTAGTTCGTTAGAAAATCTCTAGGAATTCACTTGTAATGTCCTTGCTCCCTAGGTTACTAGATTTATATAGATTCCCTAGATAGCGCCATTGTTACCAGACCTACTTGGTGAATTTAGAATTAATATAAGAATTTTCATATGATTCTAAATAGGATAAGTTATAGAAATTGAAGACATTAGTATTAATTGAATAATTATTAATTAAGAAATATTTTAATCTTGGAAACCCCCAACAGGAAAAAGCTCTCATGAGGTTCTTGTTAGAAAATTCCCCCTAATGGTAAAAATCCCCCAACAATAAAATAATATATACATTATTTTATTGTTGGTTTTCCCGAGTTAACCTGCATTTCATTTTAAATTCAACCCTCATTAAAACGAAGATATTCCAGAATTTGCTTAATCCGCGACCCTCATAAAATCCATTCCAGAGACTCAAGTAATTCAGTTAAGCTGTCTTCGGTTTTCCAACATCTGGCATTTTATAACATAATCCCTCCGGCCCCGATTCTGTCTAGACATTTGGGTCTAAATGTCGGGACCCGCGTACTTTCCCCAACGTTTGGCAAACACCAACCCCTCCGTAGCTCCCTGACTGACCACCCCCTCTAGGAAGACACCTTTTCCTTGAGAATGATTGGCTAGGTGCCTTCCCCCACCACAAAAACCCTTAACACCTCATGGACGCTTTGCCAAGTTAGCGAGGTACTTTTACACACTTGTCTCAAGTTCAAAGAGAACACATCTCCTGCAATATTTGTATCCGAACTTAATGCGAAGTTTATTTTTATCAATTAAAATCAGTTATTTCAATCTTAAAAAGTGTTCGAGTGTATTATTGGACTTTTTTAAACCTTCCCGCTTTCAGCGAGCAGAGCGCTTCAGCGCTCCACGGGCAACTTACCCGTCCCCTTTTGAACTAAAATAACTAGCCAGAAAAGTGGCACACAACATTCGTGACAGCGGTGGGATTCAAAATAAATAATTAACAATAAAGAGACAATTATTTTGCCGGCTCGCAGAAAGTTGTTCTAAAACAAAAGAAAGTAGGAAGTGATTCTTTCGAACTGGTGAATTTTATGAACATTGAGTAAACGAATAACAAACAGTGTTATAAATGTGATCGGGAATAACTGACTTCCTAAGTTCAATTAAATTACGGAAGTTCACACGTTTCCGAAAGGAAAGAAAAACATTGTGTCTGACCCTTGAGTTTCAAGTGTTTGAAATATTGAAACATTGTGGATAAAAATCTACTAAAAAGCGCACTTCTCTCATCCCGGTTGTTTGCGCACGGTTTTTCCGGAGGATGCGTTGGGTGAATACCAGAGGAGGGTGATTTTGGTGTCCGTGCAGAGGAAAAGTCCATCAAATCACCGGCGCCAGGGGTTAGAGTGAAGGAGAAGAGGCGAGTCACGTCGGAGAATCTAACGCGAGGGTAGCAGAGACAACGCAAAGGTCCAAACACTGGGATACGAGGGTAGCAGAGATAACGCAAGAGACGAGGCAAAGGCAAACGATCTAGGAGAGGACGAACCAACGCAGGAAAGAACAAATGATGACGGCTCTTCAAATCACAGTATCGTAAGTAATTATAAGACCGAATTTATATGTATAATTTGTAATTAGGAAACGCGAAAAGAATCGAAAATGTCACTCGTAACGAGGAGACGTAGGAGAATAGGTTGTAGGCGAGCCGCGAGTGGTAACAATACTTTTCAAGTCGAGGATTTAACAGTTTTACCGATTCCCGGAGAATCCACGAACACCCCCGGGCCTCTTCAGTCATTTATACAACCTACACCTCCACCCCTAAATTCCCAAAACGACACATCGAGTAAAATTCCATCAGATGATGCTTCAGACATTTCAAGCCTACCGAGCACCTTACGATCTTCTGACTCATTCTCCCCAATGACAGAACGCTATGATTCATACTTATCTTTGAAACTAGCAGTAGACCTTGTCGCCAAATTTGATGGTAAATCTTGCTCGCTCACAAAGTTCGTAAAACAGTGTAAAATCGCGAATGATAAAGTCAAGCCCGCGGAACGTGGAAATTTATTAGCACTCATTAAAAATAAAATCGAGGGACACGTTGAGGAACTCATTGTACATCGCCAAGAAGCTCAAGATCTCGACGCATTGTTAACAGCATTAAAAACTTCTTTCGCTCGGGAATTCAATGTCGATCGCGCCCACGACGAATTAAAGAGCGTTTTTCAACAGGAAAATGAGCAGGCAGAATTTTTCGGGGCCCGAGTGAGCGAAATTTTGCATCGTGGATTAGAAGCAATTAAAGAGAAATTCAATGAACAAGAAGCCGTGGGAGTTGAAGTCCTCCTAAAAAATACGGCAATAAAAGGTTTTGCACGCGGTTTACGGGATCGCCTCTTTGCTTCATTAATCGCGAAAGAATTTCCCGACTCCGTCGACATTGCAATCGATATTGCTGCACGACTTGAACGAGAAATGGGAGAACGCCCTGCCCCCTCTAAAATACATGCTCGAACATTCACAATCCAGAGTCAAGAGACACGAACTTGTTTCAATTGCCGTCGCGGCGGTCATATCTCTATTAATTGTCCTGAAGAACCGCGACTCAAATGTCGCTGGTGTGGAAAGAATGGACACATCGAAAAATTCTGTCGATCAAAATCAGCTGGAAACCCTCGGTTCAACCCTTACTCAAATGGTAATCCTCACGCAAATATCACCGATTCTGCTACAAATCCCAAGTAAATGACGTCAGTGAATTACCTATCATTAGCCTAGAGAGTCTTCGGTTCAAAGAGGGACGCGCATATCTTTTGATTGATACGGGATCTCAACTAAATCTTATAAAAAATGACGCCTTGAATTTCGACGCCTCCGTTAATTCAGCCGTGCTATATGGGCTCACAGGGATCGGCTCCGGTATGATTAACACAATAGGAGAAGCCATATTGTCTATTAACAATGTAAATATTAAATTCCAAGTGGTAAATAGCAATTTTCCCATTACTGACGCCGGAATCCTGGGGGTCTCTGTCTTAAAACAACAAAACGCTCAATTAAATTTCAGTGACGAAATTCCTTGTAAATTAAAATTGGGAGATAATGCACATCCTTTCCGTTCATATGCGACTTTACGACTACCCCCTCGATCGAAGGCTCTCATCACAATTCCAATTAAGGACACAAATGAGGAAACTGGCTATGTTCCGAGAGTGGATGCTGGGCCGGGGATTTTCTTTGGAGAATCGTTGGTGAGGAATGTAAACGGCACCGTCAAACTCCTCGCGATAAACTGCAACGTAAACCCCATAACGATCACGGTCCCCCCCATAGAACTTGAAAAATTCGAAATTATTCCACCCGCTCATCGCTCAGCTCGAACCGCCAACCCCAAAATAGATAAAACAAAAGCCGACGCCGCGAGACTTGTTCAGCTCAGTGAAAATCTCAAAATTAATGATCTAAATGAAGCCGCAAAAGCGAGCATTCTGGAGGATATTAGTCTTTTTCCCTATCAATTCACGTTACCCGGAGACAAATTGGGTTCGACCAATGCAACTCAACATAAAATCATCACCACAGACGAAATTCACATAAATACGAAGCAATACCGGTTCCCTCAAATACACAAAGAGGAAATAAAAAATCAGGTTGACGGGCTTTTGGAGACAGGCATAATAAAGAATTCCAACTCCCCTTACAATTCCCCCTTGTGGATTGTACCCAAAAAACCCGACTCCTCCGGTAAACCCCGTTGGCGAATGGTCATAGACTATCGCAGCCTCAACAGGAAGACAATCAGTGATTCTTACCCCTTCCCCAATATTACCGATATCCTAGACCAACTCGGAGGCGCGAAATATTTTACCACATTAGATTTGGCCTCGGGATTTCATCAAGTCCCCATGGACCCCGCATCCATGGCAATAACCGCATTCTCCACCCCACATGGTCATTACGAGTTTCAAAAAATGCCCTTCGGTCTAAAAAACGCCCCCGCGACTTTCCAGAGGTTAATGGACCAGGTACTCTCGGGTTTGCAAGGGATAGAGCTCTTTGTATACATGGACGACATCGTTATTTATGCGAGTTCTCTCGACGAACACTCACGTAAATTACGAACGTTGTTGGCGCGTCTGCAAAGTGTAGGATTGACCCTTCAGCCCGACAAATGCCATTTCCTCGATACGGAAGTCGCGTATCTCGGTCATCTCATTACGCAGAACGGTGTCAAACCCGATCCCGGAAAAATCAAGGCTATCAAAGCATTTTCTGTCCCAAAAACGAGAAAACAAATTAAACAGTTGTTGGGGCTTATCGAATACTACCGTCGGTTTATCCCTGATTTCGCGAGAATCGTGAAATCCCTCACGCAGCTCACAAAATTCGATGTTCCATTCGTGTGGGACGATTCAGTCAAAACTTCTTTCGAAACCCTCCAAGATATCATCTGTTCTGAGCCACTCTTACAATATCCGGACTTTTCACAACCCTTTGTAGTGACCACCGACGCCTCTAATTATGCTATTGGGGCAGTGCTGAGCCAAGGAGTTATTGGCAAAGATCTCCCTATAGCCTACGCGTCTAGAACCCTTAAAGATGCCCAATTAAACTACTCCACCACAGAGAAAGAGTTATTGGAAATTCTATTCGCAGTCGAACACTTCCGCCCTTACCTGTATGGCCACCAGTTTACTCTTGTCACTGATCACCGCCCTCTCGTTTGGCTTCACAATGCCAAAGATCCCACATCTAAGTTGATGAGGTGGCGAATCAGATTAAATGAGTACAACTACACTATCGTCTTTAAACCAGGAAAGATTAATTCCAATGCCGATGCTCTCTCTCGCAACCCCATAGAACCCGACTCAAACCCTACAATGATTTCCACTCCGCCATCGACGACGAACTCTGACGAAAAAAGGGTCTTATGTCTACGGAACTTAGAAAGGGTGCCCGTCTACGTAGACAAAGT